TCACGATCTATTGATGATGACACTAAAAGTGAAGTTGAGTACAATCAAGAAGAACAAGTTGAGCAGAACAAGATTCGATATTGAGAAGCTGAAAGACCCGGAAGTTGCAGAATCTTATCAAGAAGAACTAGCAGGAAAGTTTGCACCACTGTTACTGCTCGACCAAGATCCACAAGACCTGTGTGATGTGTTCACTGACACACTGGAAAAAACTGCGGAGGAAAAATTAGGAAAAGCGAGACCAATCATGAAGCCGTGGATAACACCAGAGGTGCTGGAGGCATGTGATGTGAGGCGAGATAAGAGAAGGAGAAGACATCTAGGAACAAATGATCTATTAGAGTATAGAGTTGCAAATAGAAAAGTGAGGAATGAAATTAACATAGCAAAAAACAAGTGGATCATCAGTCAAACACAAGATATCGAAGAAAATCTAAAAAGGAACAACACCAAGAAGGCATACGAAACTGTAAAGAAGTTGTGTGGCTCATATATGGATGAAACCAAACGGAAACAAGCTGGCATAATTGAGGATAAAGATGAAACATTACTAACGAAGAGTGATGACATCTGTAGGAGATGGAAAAACTACTGTGAAGAACTTTTCAACTACAACATCCAGAAAGACCAGGAAGTGCTGAAAGAACAAGTCACGGAAGAACGACAAGAAGAAGAGACCATCCTGATGTCAGAAGTACGTAGTGCGATCCAGGAGTTGAAGAAGAACAAGTCGCCAGGAGCAGATAACATCACTGCGGAGCTAATCCAGAATGGAGGAGAGACAACATTCCTCTTAATGCACAAACTGTGCAATGAGATTTTGAAAACCAAGCAATGGCCGAGCCAATGGACAGAATCTGTACTCATCACCATTCCAAAGAAGACGAACAGCAGGAGATGTACAGATTATCGTACGATTAGCCTAATTAGCCACGCCTCAAAAGTCCTGTTAAGGATAATCTTGAAGAGGTTGACACCAAGAGTGGAAGAAATACTGAGTGATTCTCAAGCTGGATTTAGAAAAGGAAGAAGTACTGTGCAGCAAATCACAGCTCTGCGGCTACTGAACGAGAAAGCAAGAGACATGGGGAAGCTGATATTCCACAACTTCATTGACTTCCGCAAAGCATTTGATCGTGTGTTGCATGACGCACTTTGGCACACCATGAGAAAGTACAACATTGGAGAAGGAATAACATTGCTAATAAAGAGTTTGTATGATAGCGCTAGATCAAAGGTGTTAAGTGGAGATCAGTATAGTGAATGGTTCAAGACCAACATTGGTGTTAGACAGGGTTGTCTACTATCTCCGACCTTGTTTAACCTATTCTTAGAGAGGATAATGGGTGACGCATTAGAAGGTTATGAAGGAGGTGTGAGGTGTGCAGGGAGAAAGCTGATGGATCTAAGGTTTGCAGACGACATTGACCTGATAGACGAAACTGCAGAGGGTATAAGCGAGGTTACAAGAAGGCTAGAAGTGGCTGCGAAGAGTTATGGAATAGAGATAAGTACAGAGAAGAGCAAGGTGATGGTAGTGGGAAAAGGAGACAATGTTGATGGTGTAGTGGTCAAAGTGTACGTAGATGGAGTAGTTTTGGAACAAGTGAAGAGCTTCACCTACTTGGGGTCAACGATAATACAGAATGGAACATCGGAAAAAGAAACCCGGATTCGAATTGGTAGAGCAACGAGTGCATTGGCAAAACTTGACAACATTTGGAAATCAAAAGATGTAACAATGAAGAACAAGTTGATGCTGCTGAGGTCCATAGTGTTGGCAAACCTGCTGTATGCTTGTGAGAGCTGGACGATAAGTAGAGCAGACGAGGATAGAATAAGAGCGATGCAGATGAAGTCATACAGGCGGTTATTGGGAGTAACTTGGAAGGACAGGAAGACAAATGAGTGGATAATGGATAAGATCAAAGAGATCTGTGGATATGAACCGGAAGATGTGATGGATGTGGTGAAGAGGAGGAAGCTCCAGTACTTCGGACATCTGGTTCGTGTAGGAGGAACTGGTAGAGCTGTGATGGAAGGCGGAATAGAGGGAAGCAGGGGCAGAGGGAGACCAAGAAGAAACTGGATGGGGAATATTACTGAGTGGACGGGAGAAAGAGGCAACACCTTGAGAAGTATGACGGTTGATCGGGAAGGCTGGAGAAAGGCTATCACGAACTGGGTGCACCCACGGCCGCCTCGGCTACGGAGCTGATGATGATGAAACCTTTCTTCAATGTATGATTAATATTTTCTTTAAAATTTGATTTACTTATTATGTTTTGATTTTTAATATAAGTGGTGATTGCGGTAGACTCACATCCGTCCCCCGTACTTATGGCAGGTGCATTATATTCGTCAAATATTCCAATCAACTACAACATACCAAAATATAATTCCACATTAATACAACCATTCATATAAAAGTAACAACAACTTACAAGTTAAACCAAAAATATAGTGTACAAAATTGAAAGAAAGTATCGCATTTTTAGGCTCTATTTATTTCAAAGCAAATTTTCAGTCTCTGCCTATTTCAAAGCGAGTTTTCAGTCTCTATCTCTTCCAAAATTTAGCAAGACAAAAAATAAACAGCTAAATTGTTATCTTTAGACAAATTGAATTTTCCGAGATTATATACACTGCATAGTAGTACACTGGTCGACCTACCGTATCCTCTCTAATGAGCGCTCCCTTTTCAAAAGTTTCAAGAATTTTCAAAAATTTAGGCGGGTTAGCACCAAGACTTAATTATTTTGCTACTGTTCAACCTATACTCAGGGCCAACGCCACGATTTCAAGGTGAAGGGGCCAAGTTCTATACGTTGAACTTGAATTTAAGGCTTCAAAACAGGACCTCTATGGAAATATTTTTGCTTACCAAAAAAGTAGGGGGCCATGGCCTCTCCGGCCCCTCCCCCCCCTTCTGGTGGTGTGGGCCCTGATACTCAATTTTATTTCTCAATTGGCGACTCGAATACCTGTTTAGCTGCCAAATTCAAAATTTATGCCTTGAATTGTTGCAAGCTTTTTATATCTTACAGAATCCCTCGGCAGATGATATTGTGCATATGGTCAAAAAGCTCATGTTTTTAAAAGTTCTAGAAAAAATTTTCCCCAAGTTGGATTTTAGGCGATTTTGAATATGTTATAGAGGAATATATTCTACGTAAAATGAAGTATGTTTTGCTTTTCTACCTATTTGTTCCTGGTTCATCATTTCAATGGCTGCACTATATCGAAGGAAAAGTGTTTCAGTATGCTATGTTTCCGCTATTGCATGTCATCTTCAAATCTTGCGATAAAAAAAATTGTTTGAATATTAAATAAACATGAAAACACAGCTACATAAATACAACTATCCTGCAAACATACAAACAAACATGTATAAAAAATGTCTGATATCTGAAAAATCCCCATAGTGACTTATTGGGGGTGTTTACAGTAGACTAAATTATTTAGACAATGTATTCGAAGTTACTTGGCAGCTGTGGCAATGTAACTAAAATATTTTCTTTTTATTTAGAAAATTGTTTATTTTTGCATCGTAAGTGCCTCTCATGGTGGGATGGGAACTTCAATGACTTAGAGTCTATTTATAAAACAATAAAGAAAAAAATATATCTACATCTCCATAGAAAGAGCAGCAAAGCTTGGCTGATTAAAAACTCTGTAAAACTGTGGCAGTCGTAACTGCTGTTACACTGAGAATTTGAGAATTTCGTAAAGAAAAACTGTGAATTTTGGGAAAATATGCATATATAAAATATCAAGCTGGTGGAGGTGGTAGATAGGCTAACTAAAAATTGTGGCAGCACCTTATTCAAAGTACATTATATAGGATTATGAATTTCAGATTTTGGGAAAATAGCCCTGTAGCATTGAGCGTTTAAATTGGCTTTTAGAATACTGTAAATTCATAACAAAAGCTGTGACTAGTGGGTCAACTGCACTTAGCAAAAATTCATAATAGGTACGAATTTATTTTTTGCGAGCATCGCCACATGGGATTTATAAATGGCGATACGCTTATTTTCGGTTTTTGGTCTAGATTAGGCAAGACACATATTGTATGCCATGGAATAAAATATTAATGCACAAAACAACTGTCTAAGGTATTTCAACCGCACATGTCGACATGATAAAAAGATACACACTTAGTTACAACATATGTTTGGCTTATTTGGGAAACTGGCAAATTTGTACACAGATGTCTTCAAAAGTCGTCGACAACTGTTTGCACCTAGTATTGAAAATGCGAAAGAACTAATATTTCTCTGAAAGTCACACACTAGCCGATGCAACTCCTACAAATATTGATCCAAGAAATGAATAAGGAGGCTTTTTTATCTATATACTCATAGCTTCGTAAAAGCAGACATACCTCCTGAAAAGCAGACTCAATCCATTGTTGTAACGACTGTTCCTTTTTCTGTTGCCGTCTCGTTACATTTAATTTCTTATTGTCGTTCGTGGTTCGATTAAGTCAGGCACCGCGGAGCGTCGAGCCTCAAAACTGGTCAAAAGTTATAAACAAATTAAGAACAAGCTGAGGCTGAGCTTCTGCAAATTGCAATTTTGAACAACGTTTTTTCTCAAAATCGAGGATTTTTAGCGATGTGTGGGTGCTTTTTCGGTGAATATTCAAATTTGTCAGCAAATTAAGGCTGTCTCACTCACTTTGTTGGCAAATGAGGCCTGAACACCTCCTTAGAGCGAAAAAGCTAGCAGTAGCACTGCTTAAACCCTCTTAATTTAAGAACAAATTAAGGACAATCCAGGCTCAGATTTTCGAAAAAATTAAGAACTTACTGGTTCTTGTAAAATTTACTGCTTTTTATAAAAAAAGAGTGTATTTTGATACTTGATATTTGGCATTTTTTGCAAAAAGTGGGGAGACTAAAGTCCCCCAGCCCCCCTGCTCGGCGGTGCCTGTGCGTAGACATTCAAATTATACTTTCAATACACTCATTTTGTTATTAGAAACTTGCTATAAGAAACGACTATTGGACAGTCAGAAAAAATTAAGAAACTTCAGTACTCGAAGCAAAAAAATTAAGAAACTATTAAATCGTGATTTAACTGAGAAAAGTGAAATTTGGTAAAATTAAAGAACATGATTGCCCTGTTGGCCTAGAACTGAAGACACAAGGGATAAAATATACTTCCTACATCTAAATACAGCATCAGAACGGAAGCAAATCTTTTGGCGTGATAAAAAAGTCACGAACAATTCATAACATCATTCATGACATCATAAATAAGAAACTCTTAAGAAACAATGAGTATTGAAATTTCCAGAACCTCAAGAAACTGGAGTACTCAACATCGTACCACGTTTCTTACAAAAAATGTACGCCAACACTCAAGTAAACATACAATACATGAACACGTACATACTTAAACATTAAATTCTAAATCATATATCAAATAACCCCTTTTTACCATTCTTATGTTAAACCTCTTGCCCTGACTGAAGACATGAATAAATTTATGTTTTATGACGTATTGGCATCGATTTCTTGCATTTTATATAGGGGAGAAGACACTGAGAAAGAGGCAAGAAATTTATTCAACTTTTTGAAGTAAATGACCTGAGTTAAGTGTTTGGATCTCCAAGCTTTTCCTTAAAATGAACATTATCCAATAAAATTGCATTTTTTATTTCATGCAGGCTGCACTTTGATCAGTAATCACCATAGCCTACAGAACATGCCTGCATAGAGGTGAACTGTCCTTTTTTTGGAGTCGTGCCTTATAACTCAGACCATCCACTTTCACTATTGCTTCAAAGGATGACTTGAAAGTTAATTTCATCAATGATACAGTTCTCGATCTGAAACACTCGAGAGTGAGTTCTAAACAATGAAGAACAGAAACGAACTCTTCCTGTAGACAAATGTGGGGCAAGCAAGGCCGTCTTTTCATTTACGTCTTCAGGAGCTGTCTACTTCAAAGCAAGGGGCCCTTCTTGTGTGGACAGAAAAAGTTCCTTTTCTCGTTTCGACTCTTCAACTAGGCTAGACGGTGGAGAAAACGATTGGTTAAAACAAAAATCGATCAAGGGCGTCATTTTTCTCTCGTATTCCTTTCGATCCGAAATTTCTGCTTTCCTTTAGTCATTATTCGACGATTATTCTTAGGTGGGTGTCGGACGAAAAGTACTTTAGTATGCTATGTTCTTCACCTTTCCGTGCTGCATTCAAAGATGAAATGACACTTTAGCAATAAATTTCACTCTACCATATAATTGTTATGTCTATTGGTTACTTCGTCTTTACATTTAAGCATAAATCGGAAATCCAGCTCCAGTTTTTGGTTACATTTTGGTTACATTATGTGATGAAGCCGGATGAAATCTCTCTGCATTTACAGAAATGTTAACAAATCAAGTGCTTCAACAGCTCAAGCGACCTCCCCAAAAAGCTTTTACATTTATAAACAAGACTAAACAAGACAATATGTAACACATGGCAAGAACTGAATACACAAATGTAACCAATCATATATTCATGAGCTATTTCTTATCTTCTTATAGTTTTTACGAAGACTTGCATCTGCCTGCATTTTTCATACCCCAAGTTAGGGTTCACGCTTCGATCAACTACTCGAAAAATTTTCTTGAAGAAATAGTGAAAAAAATCGAAGCCATTTAGATACTCGACTAAATCTATAATTAGTTATGCAGCTATAATCAATTTAGAGTAAAAACAACAAGGTGACCTGTATAGGGCAAGCAAGATTGCTAATTCAAAGTCATGCAACAAGACTGCAATATTACTGGTAGAAAAGTTTGACTATAATAAGTAGTGGCCTAACCCTGATTTATTGCTACCATTTCCTTACAAGCAATAAAACCCTTGTGGAAAACATCAGAGTTGGATTTTGATCATTTGAAAGGGGAACAGATAAAAAGCTTAGCTAAAACTTTAAGAACAATATTTTGGTGTTAAAATTCTAAAATGGCTTTGAAAGAACAAACATTTAAAACATAATTCAGCTTTTCGTCTGACACTCTTCCGAGCTTAAAACTCTAGAATAATGATTGAAAATTTTAAGCTAGGAAAAATAGATACCCAGTTGTGGGTTCCTTGACTGGCCTATTTCTATCCATAAGCAAAATGTTTTGCAATTGTAAACCTAATTCTATCATTTTCTTGAACGAACAAACCAAGATTGCGCTGCTGGATAATCGTAGATAGTTTTTTCTCTAACAAAATTCTACCTATTAGTAAAAGGGAAAGTTATTTTGTTGTGACAGTATGACCATTTTATGAATACTGTTGATGTTATTTTTTGGGCTCTAAGTAATGTTGCTTAATATAAAGCTTATTCTTAAGGTCTCAATCTCGTATTTTTCAATTGATTCCGAGAAAGTGTTTGATAATGGTTAATCAAATGTTTCTCTATCTTATTTCAATAATGGCTTTGAAAAAACACACATTTTGAGTCATACATATCTTAAACGTCAGAACACAGATTATCTTTAAGTTTTGTATCACCAAAATACATTTATTTCCATAATTAGTTTTAAATAGTTTTAATGTGAAGTACCACAATTCACTACCAATTTTCTACCAAAATTACCATTTTTAGCAAATATGAAAAGTGCGATATCATCAACATCACTGCCATTTTTAACCTCTTCTGCTACAATCAAAAATTTGTCGATAAAAAGATTTCATTAATTTCATAACAACAAAAAGAGTATTTAATACTAATCATTTGGATAAGCTTTTTATGAGCTCTATAGAATCCGTTAAGTATTCTAACCCTTTCATGCAAGTTAAAAAACATAGTAACTTTTTACTATAACCCAATATTTTTATCTATACAATCATAGCGAAGTTAGAACAGCTATTGAAAGGGCTAGGTCACTTCCATTCTTACTGACAGGTCATTTTATGTTAGCTCACTCCTATCCTTGCTATAGGTCATTTCCATTAGCTCTCCAAAATCAAGCCCGCAGGTTGTCCGAGAACCCAATGCCAGCAGATCTCCCTCCAGAATTAACTCTAGGGCGATTGGTACCACGAATAGGGACGCAATGATGGTGATGTACAAATAGAAGTTTGCACGGGTTCAGCACGCGGTACTTCATTTTTGTTCGAAAGAACCAAATAAAAAGATTTTCCATTCCAGGCATATCGGGTGAAATCCCTTTTAATTCTTCGAAAGTGCTCTCAGACCAATCTCTTACTGCCTTCAAAACAAATGTGTCGTGAGAACCAAAATACATTTCTCCGTCATCACAAGAACCAATTTTTGTGTACTTGGTGCAATTTGAATTTAATGCTGAATGTCTTGTTAGAGCATACATTGTACGAGAGTTTCCGATAACTTGACGCCAGGGCAGATCCCATCCTTTGCCTATTTTGTTATCTTGGTTAGTAATTGCTACTAACTGGCCAGGTAGACATCTTGCAGCATAAAGCAGTTGACATTTAAGTCCCACGTCCTCGTTAACTACTCGAAGAACGAGCTTCTCACTTCGTTTTAAAGGAAGCGAATGCAGGTATTCGGCAGTCTCCCGGTCTCTGACTAAAACGTGAATCTCGTCAATCAATGTGTGGTTGAGATTCGACTGCAGAACATCAATAACTTCCATAAGCCTCCCTTCAATCTGTGCGTTGTTTTCCTCGGACGCTACAGCTAGATTTCCGAGCGTTTTGCGATATGTGTTTCTCTTCAAGTCGATAAATCCCGTTATTAGAACGAATTTCTCTGTATTTTCTCTGCTTGAACAACCCACCGTAACAAGTGTTGCTTCATTGAAGGAATGCATTGGCTTGTAGACTTTGTACGTAAAGGATATATTGCTGTGGAAGTGCTCATTTCTAACCTTTATTGTCCTCTCTAAACGTACCTCCATTTTGATAGCTTTTTCGCTGCTTTGTTTCCATAACCCGAACAACAGTGGATGGACATTTTTATGAAACTTTGTATAAAACATAGACGCTTCATAATTGACAAGTATGATCATAGATATAGCTATTCCAAAAAGAAATAGGGCAGTTATTTTAAGCTTTGGTCCTAACATTTCATCTCAGAGCTTCCTCTCTGATGGTTCACATCTAACACTTAGCCAAACACTTTTGAGAAATTATCATCTTGAATTATTTTCCAAGAACAGGTATCCACAGCTACAATGTATAATTTACATAACAAAGTGAAAGCCTATCTGTCCCGCGAACAGTCTTCAGGGCCCTTCGCCGTTTCACGAGTTCTTTCCGCGATTCCTCGTGCCCGGAAGCAGCGACAAAACGCTGGAGAATTTTCAGAATTGAAAATTTAAAATGCAACGGACTGTAAAAGCCGTTTGTTAGTATTTTTGAATTCATTTTTGTGTTCTGATTACAAAACATCCCAACAAATAGACAGCCCTTGAATTGCAAGCTCTCGTATTTTGGTCTTTTTCTCCTATAAAGTTTTATCGCTAACTGACCCGGTTTCAGTGGAATTTTGTTTATTATAAGGTCTCAACTCAATCTCATCTTTTTTCAATCATTTTGAGAAATGCAGAAAAGCGGAAACATAGCATGCTTGAGTATTTAAAACGTCCGATAACGACTATCGGTATGCAGAAGTTTAAATCCAGACTTGGTGGTAAGTCATGGGCTCCGACACAGATTTGAAAGCGGGGGGGGGGGGGGGGCAAAGGAAAGTTCAGCACCCATTACAAAAGAATTTGAAATTCGCTCTGTTGCTTTGCAGAAAAGGGAGGCCCTGAAAGTGAGCTGAGAAAAAGAATGACCTATCACCTAGTTGAAGAGTGCCATAAACGCTCATATATAGGTACTATTTTGGAAGACGAGTTTAGATTACTATTGTTTACGGTAATTATTGTAGCCATTTGTTAGAGTCAATGCATGCATTAGGGCGAAGGCTTGTGCACCAAGTTTACCCCCCCCCCTCCCAGAGTGCGTCACAGAATTTAATCAAAACTATTTACTGGGGTGTTCCTCAATTGTAAAAATGTGTGGAATTTACAAAACCGAGGTAGAGTGGTTGAGATCGCATCTTAATAACTGACAGCTGTATTGCTCGTTAAACGGTAACAAGTCAAATTCCGGGTCAGTTACATGTGAAATTCTCCTGGGATCCTGTCTAGGTCCATTACTGTTCATCGTGTATCTGAATGACTTTAAAAAATGCCTAAAATTCTAATCTGTGTGCTGATGACGCTGAAGTCACATTCTTATCATATGAGCTTGGAGATCTCATACAGAACTTTCAGGCAGAATTAAAAAATATCTCAGAGTAGATGAGAATAAATAAGTTAAGTATGCACACCGAGAAAATTGAATTCATTGTAATTTACCATCCTCGAAAACAGGACAAACCAGGGTTACCAACATTTTGTTTGGATGATACTAGAATAAAACAGGGCGAGAGCTTTTTTGATCCAGGGCGAGAGCTTTTTCGAAGAGAACCTCTATTGTAAGATTTTATGACATTATGCAAGGTACAGGCGCCAAAATAGCTTTCGCATGGGCTGCATGCAGAGCGGCCTCTGTTATGCAAATTAGATGATCCAGACGCAAAAAAAGATTTCGAGTGGGCCCACGCAGATTTGGTTGCCACGCAGATTTTAGTATCACACCGGCATGGTATCGATACTTTCTCTATCAAAAAGAGCATCTGTTACTGTGTCGGTGTTCGAAACTGTATACCTTGTATGCACTGTACTTGTGAACTTATCCTTATTTGTTGCTCTCTCAATTCTTACACTTCCCTTGTCTTCCATAATCTCTTTCTAGCTCAAACTATACCCAGATCCTTATATCATACTACTCCCTGGAAAATATTAGCAACTTGCTTCTTTACAGGGCACTATCATAGTCCTTTATATACTCACTGCTTCTTGTATTTCTGTTTTTCAAATTGCTTTGGTAAATGTTTTTAACCCCGTCTGCTTTTGCAAAAAATACTACCATACCTTGCCCATTTCACTCTCTTCTCGATGATTTACTGCAGGCTCCTACAATCCCGGGCAAAAATGTCGAGACAAAATGCAATTTTTTGTAATTTTTCTACTTTACCTTGCCCCTGTAAATTCAAATCCCCCCTTTCCCCCGAAGCAATGTTGGATTTGTAGTTCTATCATTTATCCTTCAAAATCGTGCGTTCAACATTCAATTGGGGGAGGGGAGAAAGTTATTTTTTAAAGGAAAGTGAAAATATAAGGTTTCCTTGAAAAGTCTCAACCATTTTTGTCCGGGATTGTAGTTTCAACACATCGCTTAGGTGACCGAAAGCCCCTTCAGTTCCTTCTATTGCTTGCTGGTGACATTGATTTGAATTCTTTCATTAGAACTTAAATACTATATGCGCAAGAGATTATGCGAAAATCCCATTAATAGAAGCGTACAATGCCGTACACAGCTTTGACATTTTTGCAGTATCTGAGACAATGCTTGATAGCACAATAGTAATGTTGAAACATTTATTGTGGGCTTCAGTAAAGAAATCTACCGAAATGATCACCCCGGCAATAAGAAAGTTGGAGGCGTATGCTTACATTTTCGTGAGGGAATTACCATTAAAAGAAGGAGTGATCTTGAAAGCCTTCAAGAAATGATCGTTTCTGAAATAAATAATGCTCGCAAAAAGATGTTTTTGTTACATTCTATCGTAGTCCAAGTCAAAACAGCATCGATTTTGAAAATTTCATAGCCGGATTGCAGGTGTTTGTCGATCCAGTACAAAATGAAATACATCACTCGATTATCTTGACAGGCGATTTTAATTGTAGATCTGTGCAGTGGTGGCCTGATGATGTCGAAAATCCTGAGGGAGCATCGCTTGACGAACTTATTGAAACAAATAATCTCTATCAACTAAAAGATACTCCAACTAACATTAGGGAAGGAGGAATGTCTTGCATTGATCTTGTTATCACTAACCAGCCAAATTGTTTCGTTGATTCGGGTACTCATCCTTCCCTGGGTGAACATTGCCAGCATAAGATTCTTTACGACAAAATGAACATCTCAGTTCCTTACCCTCCTCCGTACAAGCGCACTATTTGGGAGTACTCCAAAGCTTGTTCTCTAAAGCCCAGGCCAAACGACTCGATTTTTTACTCTATTTTTTACTCGACAAGAAATCAAGTGAAAAATTGAGTCGTTTGGCAACCTTGTCGAGCAAGTCGAATGGCGTCGAGTGATGTCGAGTGAAGTTTGATCACTATAAAAAATGTCGAGTGAAAAAGGTGTTGTCGAATGAAAATCGAATCGTTTGGCCACCTTGTCGAGTGAGTCTAGTGTGCGCGTGCGCAGTTATCATCTCTTATGCTGGGTAGGGAAGCATACTACCCTGGGGCCTCGAGGTCCAGGGTACCTTTTTAAGTGATGAATTCCATTTTAAGAATGGAATTAATCAAAAGTAACAAAATTTTGCTTGAAATAGTAATTTTGCTTCATGAAACGAATGAACAGGGTCTTATGTCACTCGCGTTCGTCAAGAGATTGTAAAAGGATATTAACACGTAAGATAAACACCGTATCGTATTTACAGTACGGTAAGATTTGCGTTTCTTTACCTTAAATTTGTTGGCGTGAGCGAAAAGTCGAGTTAAAAATCGAGCGAAAGATCGAATCATTTGGCCACCCATGCTCGACTTCGCTCGATTTTGAGATCAAATCTCGTTCTCCACCGCAATAGCTGTTATCTTAGATGAGGTTACGGAAACCCAGTGATAATGCTTACTTATGTTTCTACAACGCTAATTTTAGCAAAAGCAACAGAAACTAAAGGAACAAACTCCAATATACACTAGGGTATCAAAAGTATTGCACCACCTCGAAGGAGGAGAAATGGCGCATGAATGATCGAAAGCTATTGTTATGCAAATTAATTCTGTTTTTAGAGGGCCAATGGAATTATCAACGTATTCTTATGAAGTTTTGCAATAGGCCTGGAAAATTCTTACAAATAATGATTCTCTGGCTTTTGGACGACCATTTGGATCGTGATTTGTAACATTTTTCATTTGAAGTCAAACTTTTTTAGCGATGTTAAAGATTGGACTTGATTCTGGCTATGCCAAAACTTTAATTTCTTTTGTATGGAAATAAATATTTGTAAAAATGGTTTCCGTTTACTCAGGTAACCTTTTCTTTTGTATTTGTACAAAACACTCATTACATTTTCTGTGGACGGATTTTGAGCTGCAAAACTTGCGCATTGCTGAGTTTCATGCCTTTTACTGCCCCTTGGTGCTGTACGCAGTGAAATAGAACAGACAAATTCTTTCCCCTCTAACATCAAATTTATTTTTATTTTTATTTTATTATCGCTTTTTTTACTACTGTAACACTCTCGAGAAATATTTTTTGATTTACCAAAGCTGTTGTGTAGCTGCATCTAACTTGGTCAGTATTTTTTTTAAAAATTAAAGACCACTTCCTCGTAAATGTTTTATATCGACTCGCCTCTCATTTGACAATTTTGTTTCCTCAGGCATGGGCTACATTTTTACAGATAAAAATGTTTTTGCGTAATTTATACATTTCTAACTAAGTTTTCTATGGCGTCAGCAAGATTTGCAAACTTTTCCCGCCAAAGTTAGCTCTAAAATGCGCTTATTTCACTCAATTTATGCATTCGAATGTTTTGTCTTGTCAAAAAGTCGACAAAAAGTGCCGCCATTTTGAGCAGGGTGGTGCAATACTTTTGATACCCTAGTGTACTAGAAGAACAAGCTGTTTAGGTTGACAATCTACTTCTTGAAAAATGTTTTGTTTGGGAGCCTAACCCTAAAGCCTCTATAAAGTTTCGGTAAGTTCCTGAAGCAGTTGAATTCAGAGGGAAAAAAGGCTTGATTATTAGCCGAGAATTAAATTTGCACTATTTCGACCTTCCGAGTAGTTGTTTCATGTTAATTCAAATGCCAGTAAGATTTCATATCAGGCTTTCATAGGTTAATTCCTCTTACAAAATTACCATATCTACATCTACTAACATAGCTATTATTGCAGGATTTCCACTAAATAAATAAAATTGTGCCGCAGTTTAAATTTTTCCTAGTCGTTTCTACTTGTTTCTACTTGTTTCCTAGTTGTTTATCACCTGTTTCCTAGTTGTTTCTACTTGTTTCTTCTTGTTTCCTAGTCATTTCTACATTTCTACTCATTTCCCGTTATAGTGACCACGTATTTCAAAACCAACTAAAGCCTTGGCCAAACGATTCGATTTTTCGCTCGATCTTTCTCTCGACATTTGATCTCAAAATCGAGCGAAGTCGAGCATGGGTGGCCAAACGATTCGATCTTTCGCTCGATTTTTCACTCGACTTTTCACTCGCGACTTTTCAACACGATAAAGGCAAAGAAACGAAAATCGGCTGCCGTGTTTTTTATCTTACGTGCAAATATCCTTTTACAATTTCTTGACGAACTCGAGT